CCTCCTCCTCCTCCTCCTCGTCCTCCTCTTCCTCCTCCTCGTCCTCCTCGTCCTCCTCCTCCTCCTCCTCCTCTCCTCCCTCCTCCTCTCTCCTCCTCCTCCTCCTCCTCCTCCTCCTCCTCCTCCTCCTCCTCCTCCTCCCTCCCCGCAGCCCCGTTCTCCTCGTCCTCCTCCTCCTCCTCCTCGTCCTCCTCCTCCTCCTCCTCCTCGTCCTCCTCCTCGTCCTCCTCCTCCTCGCCCTCCCTCCCCGCAGCCCCGTCCTCGCAGGCCCCCCTGCGGGCCCACGTCTCGCCGGCGGGAGCGCCCCCTTTGAAAGGCCGAGGGCCCCACGGGCCTGCCGTGCAGGCGAGGGCCACGTCTGGAAGAACGGGGTGCTCTGCTCGTGCTGGCCAGGAAAAAAGGGGGGAGGGGGGGAAAAAAATTTTTTTGTTTTTTTTTGCGAAGGAGGAGGAGGAGGAGGAGGAGGAGGAGGAGGAGGAGGAGCTGAGGGAGTGGAGGCAGGAGAGGAGGAGGGATGAGGACGAGGGGAGGAGGGGGAAGGAGGAGGAGGAGGAGGAGGAGGAGGAGGAGGAGGTCCGTAGCCATTTTGGCTCAAGGCCATTGCCCGGGGCCTTCGCCTTCCCTGGGGTTGGGGCCCAAGTTGGTTGAGAGACCCGCACGACCCTCGATCAGCAGCCCTGCCCAGGGTGAGGGCCACACTCACGATTTCAGGATTCAGGCGTGTATCCCGTCAGCCAGACACAAGATCAGCCAGCCCTTGTCAGTTCGTGCAATGGCATGGGGGCAGCCTTGGCAGTATGGCAGAGGCAAAGGTCGCGCAGCAGATGCAGCAGGAGATCGTGAGCATGTATCGGACCAACCACGTGGCAAAGGCGTCCACACGTGGCGCTGCCAGGACTGTGGGTGCAAGAAGACGCCCTGGGCCCAGTGGTATTGTAAGCATTGCAGCAAGCCATGGAGCAGAGAAGAGGCTGTTGGAGGAGCCAGCCTCGACGTGGCAGACAACGACAGCCCGCCAGGGCTGGCACCGCGGGCGAAGGGATTGCAGCCCCCGCCTGGTATCAAGAGCAAAGAGTTGGAGTTGTCCAGCGAAGAGATCGACAATCTGGTCGCGCTGGCCAGCAAGATCGGAGATCGGGCCATGGAGAACAAGTACACGACCCTCCGCGAGTACAAGAAGCGGCTCGCCATGGAGCCCAAGGCAGTGCCGCTGCAGCTCCAGGCGCAGCAGGCACACCATAAGGTTCAGCAGCTGGAGGCGAAGCTCAAGCAGGAGGCCGGCAGGTTCGAGGGCATGCAGGTGGCCCTTGAGGAGCAGACCCAGCGCGTGCAGGCCCTCAGCACCGAGCTGGAGGACGCAGACAGCAAGTACAAGGAGCTGCTGGACAACCTGCACACAGATGTGGTCGGAGCGTCGAGTGGGCAGCCGCCCCGTGTGCCGCTGTCCAAGCTGCTCGAGGGGGACCTCAGCTGCTTTGACCTCGGGGAGTGCGAGACGCTCTTCGGGCTGGTCGACTCGAGGCTGTACGAGGTTACGGAAGATGACCAGAAGCAAGCAGCAGAGAGGCGCGAGAAGATGCAGAAAGGGATTGCCGAGTTGGCGCAGACCTTGTTCGGCTCGGCGAAGCAGTTCGCGGAGAAACTCAACAAGGAGCATGCGGAGCACGTCAAGAGGATGTCCACCAAGAAGCGGAAGACGGCCGAGGAGCCCGACGGAGAGCGGCCAGGCGGCCAGGGCTCAGGAGCCCAGGCCGCAGGCGGCGCCGCGGGCGGCGAGGCGGCAGCCGCGCGGGCGCAGCCTGGTGCCACGGCGGGCGCTGGCCATGCTGCTGCTGCTGCTGCAGGTGGAGATTCTGACGGCCACAAAGACGGAATGGTCGATCGAGACCGTTCTGGAGCCTTTTTGCCGCCCGAGCCAAGCAACGCGCGTCAGGCAGCACGAGCAGCGCTGGGTCAGAGCGGCAAGGGAGCTGCAGCAGGAGGCAAGGGCTTTGCAGGCAGCGCTGGAGGCGCCGCCGCAAGCCCAACGGCCGCAGGGGAGGGACGGTCGGGCGGGTAGCTGGGTGGGGGTGGCGGGCGGGTGGGGCACGTTTCTGGCAGGCAGCGTTGAGGCCTCGGCCGCGCGGCAGGTGCGGGAAGGTCTTAGTTTTGGCACGCCACCAGGGATCTTCTTTCTCCCTCCGCCGCTTCTCATGCCGCCGCCGCCTCTCGGCCGTCCTCCCTTCTACTTTCCCCAGCAGGAACCAGTCTGTCCTGCTTGGGAGCCAACATTGCCTCAGCGTTTCAATTTAAGCAAGTCTCAGTCTGGGAAGCGTGAGCGTCAGCGATCCAGTCCAGTTTCCAAGGCTGACCAGGGAGAGAGTTTTTTCTCGGTAGAGTCATGCAACGCGACCTGTTGGAAGTCGGCGAAGCAGTATCTTGAGGGTGAATGTCAGTCGAGCGTAGCAGTACTGCAATAGATCACTGTTGAACCGAGCGAGCTGCAGGAGCGTGAACAAAC